AGTTGTCTAGATTTATGTTCCAGTATAGTCTAGGGAAAGTGATGAGATGTTCAAGTGATGTGTGGACCAGCTGTAGTAAGATTCGATAGACCCGAAGTCTTTTATTGAAATGAAGTATTCTAATCAGCAGTAATTTCACAATGTTTTGTCCAATTGCAAGTCTCGAATAAATGATGCTGGTGTGTCTGTTTTTGATCTTTAAGCAAGCAATTGAAGGAAATGCAGGTTAGGTTGATGATGTCAGTTGAAAAAGAAACAATCACTGTACCATGCTGTAGTTGAGGAGAATACGTTCAGACGTTTCCTGTGCCAGGATATGAGTCGAGTAGATGATTGGCTGAGATAGAAGAGGTAGTTGAGGACATGACGTTCAGGTTATTGCTAGAACGGGGTATGAGTAGACCGGGGTATGAGTAGACCGGTGGTATAAGCAGACGGATTGCAGCTGAGTATAGAAGTAGACGAAGCTAATTTACCAGTGGCAGTTGTGAGAACAGTCCCAGGCTAGTTGGATTGGTTGCTGTTGAAATGTGTAACAGGACTAGCAGACTAGCAGACTAGCAGAGTGGTAGATGTTTGAGCCTGTTGAAGTTATTTTGTAGTTGAAGAGAAGAAGTAGTTTGGGCTAGATATGGAGTCTGTAGCTGGACGGTGGATGGGACTGTGGCAGTTGTATCAGGTCCGCAGATATTGGCCGTTGGAACATGCATGTTGTTCTTTGTTGATTGTTCTCTTGATGATACTGGTTGAAAAGAGGTCGAGCAGAGAGCCGTGGGCCGTTGTGATTGAGGAGAGTACGTTCAGACGTTTGCTGTGCCAGGGTATGAGGTGAGTAGATGACTGGCTGTGATAGACGAGATGGACCAGAAGATCAGAATGAGTTCTGTTAGGATCAGAATGAGTTCTGTTAGGATCAAAATGAGTTCTGTCAAAAGTGTTATCTGCGATATTCCGGACGAGCCGATGGCCAGGATCTAGGATAAGAATTTTCTTTTCATCATGATGGGGTTTGCATGAGGACGAGATTGAATTCCCCGAGTGTGTTCGAGAATATGCAGCCTGTCTGATGTACAGCCTGTTCTACGTATTTTGTCAATGAACCAACGATGCCGGGAATCTCATTCTGCATTGAGAAAAGTTTGTATTCTTTTAGATGTATAGTCGTATAGGACATGGATGAAGTCGTTGCATTAGGCTTGACTATCCAGAAATATAAGTGTTTATTCCAGTATAAGATATGTTTGAAGTACTGCCAGTTCTTGTTTGCTGTATCTTTCCGTGTAATATCAATCAAAGGAAAGGTTTGGTCAAGCTGTTGGGTGTGTTTTAATTGAGAAGAGGAAGTTCAGACAGTCCCTGTATTTGCAGGAGGTATAGTTTGAATGGATGGAGCTAAGTTCTAATGGATAAGGAAGGTTCTGTAGTTGGCAATTGTGGACAATTGTGGACAATTGTGGCCGGATGCTAGATACCTGGTCACGCCAAGTAGTGGCTGTGGGTGATTACATGGTTATTCATGTGTTGAATGAATGCTCTAGTCGGATGAGAAGATATCATGGACCGTTTGTAGTTGAGGAGAAGACGTTCAGACGTTTCCTGTGCCAGTAAAAGATACGGTTCGATAGGTTTGTGTCGGAGACGTGAACGTGGTCTGTGTGGCAGGTAGTGCCTGAAGTGCTGTAACTCTGTATCTAAACAGGTGTGGAGTATGGGCTGTAACTCGTGCAGTTCTGGGAATGCTGCCCCGAGACCGGTCTAGTCGTGATATCCGAGTGCTGTTTGTGGGGGGAGGATGTTCTTGGAGCCCGTATGATCCGGGAGTATCATGCGCTGGTGGGCATGTAATGGGCGGAGTGGCCACGTATGTTGTGGGGAAGATGGGTTGCCGAAGCGAAGGCTTGGCGCGGGAGGCTCTGCGCGGACGAATTTGCGCTGCGCGACCGTTATGCAAGTGCATGCGATGCGATGCAAGCGCATGCGAGAGCATGCAAGG